CAGGGTTTTTCTGTATTGCTTTGGAGGCTGTCCTGGAATTCTCTGTAGACCAGGCTGGCCTCAAACTCACAGAGATCTGGCCTGCCTCTGCCTCCCAAGTGCTGGGATTAAAGGTGTGCACCACCACCAATGCCCGGCTCCTTACTATCATTCTTTCATATGCAAATATCAAATTAATATGCACCAGACCTCATGGCACAGGCCTGTAATCCCAGGCACTTGGGAAACTTGAGATAGAAATATGACAAATACAAGGCTAGTCTGAGTAATTTAGTGAGACTTTATCTCAAAAGTGAAAAAGATGGGAGGCAGATAAGAGAGGATTTGGGGAGATGAGTAATCAGAGTTAGTATACACATGTGTAGAATAAACTTAAAAAGACAAAAAAGGTTGGGACTGTAGCTCAGTGGTGGAGTGCCTGCCTCTCATGAATTAGGTTGAGTTCAGTCCCCAGTATTGTACTAAAATGTTTGACTTTAGTCCATTCCACATGGAGGGATGCTCTCTCATCCTGGACACATGGGGGAGGACCTAGGCCCTGCCTGGGATTGTATGACAGACTCTGAAAATCCCAGTACTCAGGAGGCAGAGGCAGGTGGATATCTGTGAGTTGGAGGCCTGTCTGGTCTATGAGTTCCAGGACAGCTAGGGCAGTTACACAGAGAAACACTGTCTCAGAAAACAAAAAAAAATTACATTTATTTATTGTGTGTGTAGGTCAGGACAACTTCAACTTGCAGGAGTCAGTTTTATCCTTCCATTATGTGGGTTTCCCAAATGGAACTAATCATTGGTGACCTGGAGAGGTGGCTCAGTGGTTAAGAGCACTGACTGCTCTTCCAGAGGACCCGGGTTCAATTCCCAGCACTCCCATGGCAACTCACAGCTGTCTATAACTCCAGTTCTAGGGAACCCAAAACCCATGGCAAAACACGAATGCACATAAAATAAAAATAAAAAGATGAAAAATTTAAACTCAGTCATCAGACTTTGTTGGTACTAAGCACCCCCACCTGTTGAGCCATCTTGCTAGCCCAGGCTTAAATATAATTCTCCCCATTTTGTGCTACATATTTGTTTGAAGTGACATTCTCATCATTGATAATAAAATCAAGATAGAGTTTGTACATTTCAAGTATTCAGCCAGGATTTCTTTTGTATGCATATGGGGTGAAAGGACAACCTCTAGTGTCATTCCTCAGTCACCTTCCATCTTTTGTTTGAAACTGGCATCTTCTACCTGAAACTTCACAAAATAGGCCAGGCTAGCTGACCAGTGAGCACCTGTTTTTCCTTTCCATCCTACCAATGTTGTGTTACATATGTCGGCTACAATACCTGACTTTTTACATGGATTCTGAGGATTTGAACTCAGGTCCTCACATTTGCAGGGAAGATGATTTACTGAATATGCCATATTTCCTGTTCCAAGATTTATTTCTTTATGTAAAATAAATATTTTGTTAGCAGGGCAGTGGTGGTGCGTTCCTTTAATCCCAGCACTTGGGAGGCAGAGGCAGGCGGATCTCTGTGAGTTCGAGGCCAGCCTGGTTTACAGAGCGAGTTCCAGGACAGCCTCCAAAGCCACAGAGAAACCCTGTCTTGAAAAACCAAAACAATAACTAAACAAATGATAAAATTTGCTTTCATTTTTGATAAATGATAAAATTATATGTATATTGAAGTATTAAACTAAGTTTTATATTAAATATCTTTGTTTTTATCAGTAAATGATTTTTTTGTTTGTTTTAACTTCTTTATGTATACTTTGAGAGTTTCACATCATGTATCCCAATTCTGCTGACCTCCAGATTCCCCCATATCCTCCACTCACCCCAACAGTACCCTCAACCAAAGGAAACAAAACACAGTAAGCAAGCAAACAAAATCAAGAACGAAGCAAAACAACCAAAAAACCTTCTTTGCTTCTTTCCAACCCCTCTAACACCTTTTTTTTTTTTTTTTTGCGAGACAGGGTTTCTCTGTATTGTTTTGGAGGCTATCGGTCCAGCCCGGCCTCGAACTCACAGAGATCTGCCTGCCTCTGCCTCCCTAGTACTGGGATTAAAGGCGTGCGCCACCACCGCCCGGCTCTCCAACACCTTTTTATTCGTCCTGGTGGCACTGGGGACCTCGGTGTGTCACATAGTATACCTTTTTGTCCATCAACCTTAGTAGCAAATGTGCATTGCGATGAGTTCAAGGCCTCTGGTTTCTGGTACACCATCATCACTGAATCTTCACCGGAACTCCTCTGGGTTGTCTTCTATACCTATTTTGTTTGGATCTTGATAAGGGATTCATGTATCCCAGGCTGGCCATGAACTTCCTAGTCAGCCAAGGATGACTTTGAATTTAGTATCCTCCTGCCTCTACCTTAGAAGGAAAGAGAGCAGACAACCTTTGACCAGACTACCTGTTCTATCTAGCTCTGTCCTAAGCTGTGTAACCTTGGATGAGTCACTTTACCTACTTGTTTAGGATGTTCCCTACTTAAAAGTATATTATCTTCTGAATGTTGATTGATTTCCTAAAAAATATTTTTAGGCTGGGTGGTGGTGGTGCACACTTTTAATCCCAGCACTCAGGAGAGAGAGGCATGTGGATCTCTGAGTTGAGGCCAGCCTGGTCTACAGAGTGAATTTCTGGACAGCTAGGGTTGTTATACACAGAAACCCTGTCTTGAAAAAGCAAAAAAAAGTTTTTAAAGACTTCTGTATTTTTACCATATATGTGTGAGTGTTTTGGCTTCGCATGTGTATGTATACTGTATGCCTGGTCCCCATAGAAACCAGAGGAGTGTACCAGATGACCTAGAACTGTAGTAACAGCTGCTTGTGGGCTATCTTGCGGGTGCTGAGAACCAAGCCTCCATCCCCTGCAAGTGCAGCAGGTGCTTTTAACTGCTGAGCCATCTCTGTAACCATCCTCCCACCTTATGCTTATTAAATTGAAAGACATATTTCACTTTGGGGAGCAGTTCACCCAGTTTAATAGGAGGGTGAAGAGGTACCGGGAAGTGTGGCACTCCCCACCTATAAGGTATAAAATTCGCAGGCCATTTTTAAATTTTATTTGTGTGGATGTTTTGCTTGCATGTATGTGTGTACACCACTTGCATGCCTGGTGGTGCCCTGGGAGGCCACAAGAGGGTGTGTGGTCCCTTGGAACTGGAGTTACAGAAGATTGTGAGAAATCACGTGAGCGCTGGGGATCCAACAGGGTCCTCCAGAAGAGCGGAGCACTGAACTAACTGCTGAGTTCTCGCTCCAGCCTCCAGAGGCTTTGTTTTGTTTTGTTTTGCCTTTCCCCAGCCTTCCAAACCCTGGGATTACAGCTCTGAGCCTTTACAAAGAGCTTTATTTTAAGAGGAGGTCTCAAACCATATCCCAGGTAGGCCTCTGACTAGTGGCAATCCACCTACCTCTTCCTTCCCAGTGCTGGCCTTACAGGCTTGAGCTACGACATCTTATTTCAAAAGCTGCTTTGTCTCAGTCTCTTCATTCTTTCCATTTCCTACAGGGTGGCAGGCTGAGCTAAGGACTGGGTGCCTCCCAGGGAGGCCCAGGGAACACATTTGAGCTTCCAGTCTAAATCTTCTCTTTCCCACTTTTCTTTCCTGAAGACTGTCTTCTGACCCATGGAGGAGAGTCCCTAACTCACGGTGGGAAAGCATGTATTTTGATAGCTCCACAAATGTACACAGAGCTGCTCACATTGTCAGCCCTTAGGCACACGGTGACATGACTCATTCTACATAGTACACACATGCACATCCATACATACATGTCTAGAGACTGGCAGAGAAAACTGCAATTGACAGAGCAACAAAGTCATTCTGAGACATACACCTTGGTATAGTTTGAAAGTGAAATGTCCCATACAAGCTCACATGTTTAAACATTTGGTCCTTAGCTGGTGGTACTATTCTGGGAGGTTGTGTGGCCTGACTGGTTGGGGTGGCCTTTATGGGTTATAACACTTCTCTGCGTCTAGTCTCTACTTTTCTGACTGTCATGTGAAGAATCTTGCCATAGTTCCCACCCCCGTGGTAACTGCCGTGCCTTTTCTAACATGAGCCCAAATAAATCCTCTCCATGTAAGTTACTACTATCAGGTATTTTGTAATAGCAACAAGAAAAGTAACTGTTGTACCTCATACATAGTTCTTATTCGGGGTTTCAAAGGTGCTTAGTCATCAGATTCTGTGCCCAGTTTATGTGATGTCACACTGTCAAGATCGCCTGGAGTCATATACAGCCACACGGTACAGCCTTACCTGTCTCATCGCCATCACTGTACACACATTTCTACATGCTGTAGCTTGGTGACATCCTTGTCATCTCAATACCACCTCACCCACAATTACCCAGTCATAAACCATCTTACAATGACCCTTGGAACCACCTGGATGCTGTCTCAAAACTTCATATATACGGTTCCATTTATGTGTCATGATTTTCAGTTGTGAAATATCATACCTGCCACCTCATTTAGGCTCATGTAGTCGTACATTTCAGTTAGATTCTGTCATCAGAGAACCCAGACACCACTCCATACACTGACATTTATTTAGCCGAATGCAGACTCAGGGCTGCAGTTTCAGGTCTTTGGTGGTTTTATTTTACAAAATCTTTGAAGGTACAGGCAAAGAGATGTCTGGGGCCCATAGGCTTGAGCTGTGCAGATGGCTCCAAGAGTGCTGGGATTACAGGAACTGAGGCAGGAGGATCTCACGTTTGAGGCTATTCTGGACTACGCAAGGAATTCAAAACCGCCTGGGCTACTACAGAGTGAGACCCTGTCTCAAAAGCAAAACAAAACAAAAATGTCGAGCCGGGCGTTGGTGGCGCACGCCTTTAATCCCAGCACTCGGGAGGCGGAGACGGGTGGATCTCTGTGAGTTCGAGGCCAGCCTGGTCTACAAAGCGAGTTCCAGGACAGCTTCCAAGACAATACAGAGAAACCCTGTCTCGAAAAACCAAAAAAAAAACCAAAACAAAACAAAACAAAAAAACAAAAATGTCAGGCATGGCATCACATGCCTATAATCCCAGTACTTGGGAGGGTGGAGGCAGGATAATCAGGAATTTAGGGTCACCCTTAACGACATAGTTGGTGGTCAGCCTGGGTACAGAAGATCCTGCCTCAAAAAAAAAGAGGGGGACACCTTCTCTGCCGAAAGGCCAAGGCCGTTTCGTGCACCTTCAAGAACTGAGGGGAGCCACCACGGTGGTGCTGGTGGTAGGGGGCACAGGAGCTGTGGGGAAGGAGGCTGCCGTCGAGCCCAGCAGAGGTCCAGAGAAAGGCATCAGGTGGCTGACAGGTCCTGACAGCACCACAGGTCCCAGGCCCTGGTAGAGATGGGCAGTACCTGCGGTGCCCAGTGTCAAGCCTGAGGCCACTTCCCCACAATTCCCACTACTACTGCCACCAGCTACCACCATGAAGCCACCAGCTGGTCCTTCAGCCGCTCCTGCTCCTGCTCCTCCCAGACTTGACCCCCGCTTCTTTTTCCCTTTCCCGGAGGCCTTGCGGTTCCTAGTCTGAATTCCATCCTTGCGCATGGTCAGTGGCCGGTTCACCTGGAGAAAGGGAGATGACAGGTTTGCCAGCTCCAGCCCTTTGCGTCTATGTATCTGGGACAGCCTCTGAACCCCATTTTTTTGAAGAGTAGGGAATTAACTCAGTGACAAGGGTGATATACCCTGGGCTGCCCGGTATAGAGAGACCTGCTGTTGTGAGGCCCTGGGCTCTGGTTATTCTCCTAGACCAGCAAGAGGTACCGAAGACTTAGAGCATGGGAGTGAAAGGTAGTGGATGTGGCGAGAAGAGAAGGGGGGGGGAGAGGAAGGATGGAAAGGAGGCATGAGATGGAAAGAGCGGATAAGAGTGACAACCGGATAGGTAGAGAAAAATGATAAGAAGAGGGGCATGAGAGATGGAAAGACACAGGAAGAAGGCTGGGTGGGAGAGAGAGCTTAAGGTACATCAGGCCCGAGAGTGTGGGGCGAGGACACCACCATGAAGGCAAGCACCATGAAGGAGAGTGTCACCTGGTGTAGCTTGTAGTAGAGGCCACAGGCATTGCAAACCGGATCGCCACTGGCATTTCTCCGCCAGAGTGTCGTGGTGGTCGTTTGGCAGTTAGTGCACTGAGTGCCTGCCCTTTTGCTGACAATCTGAGGGACAAAAGAATGTGACATCAGTGCTCTGGGGAGGTGGAAGTGGGGGACAGGACCCTAGAGAGGAGCTGAAGGGGTGAGAGGGTTCCTATCTGGGATAAGAAGTTATTTAATTCATCATTATTATTCTTTATTATTTTGTTTTTTGAGTCAGAGTTTCTTTGTGTAGCATTGGCTATTCTGAAACTAGCTCTGTACACGAGGCTGACCTTGAACTCACAAGAGTTCTGCCTGCCTCTGCCTCCACCACTGCCCAGCAAGAACTTTATTTTATAATCTGTGTGAGACTCCTTGCATCTCTGGTTTTCAGCTTTGGCCACAGATCTGAATCTCTTGGAGGAAGCAAGATGTGGTAATTCACACTTACAATCTTGGCACTTGGGAGAAAGACAGGCAGATCATAGCAAACTAAAAACCTGTTTGGTATACATAGTTTCAGGTCAGCCAGGGCTACATAGCAAGGCCCCCTTTCAAGAAAAAACAAAACAGAATTTCTTGAGATGCTACAAACATTCTGGGAGCTGGGGGTATAGCTCTACAGAGGAGGGCCTGCCTATCATGCATGAGGCCTTGGACTCCATCCCCAACACAAAAACCAAAATCCTGTTGCCCAGTTCAATGAGGTCATGACTTCTGGAAGAAGGGATCCAAGGAAATTACAATGTGAACTGTAAGTAAAAAGACCACTGTCAAGGATAAGGGTGAAGCTTTTCATACAAATGTGAGAACAGGGTTTCTGTTTGAAGCCTCAAAGGGTACGTAAAGGTTGGGGGTTCTAGTTCAGAGTAGGGTCTCTGTATAGGAAAGGGATGGATGTTCCCCATGGGGAGAGGGTGAGGATGAGGGCAAGTATAGTATGTGTTAGTATGCGTTAGGCAGGGGTTCCTGTAGGATGGGAGAGAATGGACTCTTGTCCTGGGCTGGAACTCATCTCCCGCACAGGTCAGGCTTAGCCCCTGGTCTTACCAATCGCTTCTTGGGTCGAATGAGAGGCCGGTTCTGGCCATTCATCTTGTGATACAGGCCACAGGCATTGCACAGGTAGTGACCTGTTCTGTCCCTTCGCCATAGTGGAGTAGCCGTTGCTCCACAGTTCACGCACTCTCTGGCCTCTGGTAGGTGAACAGAGAGAAAAGTTAAGCATTAACTTAGCTTAACTTGGCCTTGAGCTACCTGGCCTAACTCAACCTCCCCATCCCTTTTTGAGAGCCTCACCACAAGGGGCCAGAGGGAGGCTTCCGTGAAACTTGGGGGAAGAATAGGCTGCTGAGTTGAGAGGGCTCCCAGTGGGAGAAAAGAAAGGCCCAGCAAAGTCAGGTCCCCCGTAAGCACTGCTGGTGACAGGCAGCGATGCAGGCAGTGCAGTCCCCAGGGTCAGGAGGTCTGGACTCAGCCGCTCTGTCTTCAAGGTTTCCAAGAAGGTGGTGCTGCTCTTCCCATCCGGGTCTTCCAGGGTCTGGGGAGGGGCATCCTCGTGGCTGGAGCACACAGTTGAAGCAGGGTAGAGCCCCGTCTTGCCGTAGGCCCAGCTAGCATAAGGTGAGCCCCCTGGGATTCCCTCCATACAGTTGAGAAGCGGGTATACCTGAAAGACTGTTGGAGGGGTACAGGGAGGGGAGGGGGGGAGGAGAGCAATGAGCCTAAAGCAATGCTGCTTTTACAGTGCTATGGTGCCCATCAGTCCCGACATGGCAGTTAGGTTTCCAGTCTTCTGACAACAGTTCATTGATGCTGAGTGACTCCTGGGTTTTAACTCCCTCTGGTCACTATAGAAATGACAATCCCCTCCCAACCCTTTCTGTCTGGGATTCAAATGACTATTGTTGGGATTGGGAGACTGCAGGTCAGCTGACACGTAAGTGAGCTAGTACACATTTCTAGTGTGTCACCCTTAGTGTGTCACTCCAGTATAGTAGACAGGAGTAGTGGTGTCCCCGGGGGAAGGGGTCAGTACATCCCTACACAGAGCTTCTAACTATTCCCAAGATGACCTCCTAGTAGAATTGCGATCTAGCTAATGATCTCTATGGCAACCCTAACAGCCCCTACCAGTGCCAAGGCAGCTTCTCGGCAGTTACCTGGGGAGTGTCTGTAGGCCTCAGTGTCCCTGTAGTAGGCCAGTGCCGTGGCTGCAGCTGTGCCTGTGCTTGGGGAAGTGGACGAAACTGCATCCAAACCCTCAGGCCCAGAAAAGAACGGCCCTGGATCTGGTGGCGAGGACACCAGGGAAGAGTCCACAAACTGCGGTAGGGCTTCTGAGGCCCCTAGGGCCCCGAGGCCAGGAAAATCCATGGGGATACTGGGGTTTAACCTGTGAGGACAGGAAGGGTTGTCAGACGTGGAAATCCTTCTCTTCCCTTTCTCCTCGCCAAGTTGTCACCTGGGACTCTAATTTCTCCTTTCCATCGCTCAGATTCGTTCCTTCCTCTTCTCTGTCCTCCTTCTCACTCTGTCGTTTCTCCTGTCTCTCCTTCCGTCCTCGCTCCCTACTTGTCGTCCTCTGAGCGCTTCCCCATTCTCTTATGGCCTCACCTGTCTTCCTCCCCTCCACCCTCATCTTCCTGCTCCTTATTCTCTCATGCTCCCCTTGTTGTCTTACCCCTCCTCCCGTCTCCCTCATGCCCATGTCTTCCCGTTCCTGTTGCCGTTCTCTTCCCTCCTTTCCTTCTGTCCTGTGCCTCCCCTCCTGTGTGCCATGTTTCTCCCTCTTTCTGGATCTCTTTCCTTCCTCCTCCTGTTCTCTCTAACTTCCAACCTTCCTCTGTCCCCTCCTCCCATGGGCCTTCTCTTTTCTCCCATTCTTCAAGTCGTCCTCCTCTGCTTCCTCTTTTTCTTCACTCTCCCTCTTCCCCTGTCTTCTCCTGTGGAGGTAGAGTGCATAACCAAGCTCCCTTGGACCCCTTGACAGCTCCCTTGGGACTTTGGGGTTCACCCTTCTGTGCTCCCCAACTTCATCCCTATCTGTTGTATCTTGACATCTGACTTTCTCAGAAACCCCGTGGTTTCCGGTTTTATCCTCCCTCCCCCACCTCAGTTGTGTCTGTAGACAGAGGGCCCCATTAGTTCCTCCCTGTTCTATGGGGGGTCAGTACCTCTGCTTATCTTTGCCATCCCCGCCCAACTTTTGAAATCACCCCAAAGCTACTGGCTTCCTCTGAGGAGAGTGACAGGTAGGAGGTGTTCCCACCCTGGTACCCTCCCTCCAGGGAGCAGGGTCTGTGTTCAGGGACCTTCAAGTGACACCACTCTCACACCTCAGTTTCCCCATCTGTTATATTGGAGGTGGTATGCTAGGAGCTGAGCGATGATCCCTCTCCCTTTGTCTTACGTTGCACGTCTGTCTCTTCAGCTCTCTGTCCCTGGGTCTCTCCATTTCCTTTCAGGGCTAACTGTGTTTCCCCTACATCTTTCTATTCTTCTAGGATGTACCTTTGGAAAAAAAGATTTTATCTTTGTTTATGGGGTGTGTGCATGCAGAGGACATCCATGGGTGTTGGTCCTCACCTTTCACTTCTTGAAAACAGGGTCGCTCATAGTTTTCTACTATGCATATGCATTAGGACAGGCCTTGAGTTTCCAGTCATTCTCCCCCACCTCCTATTTCTCCATAAGTATGCTGGGACTACTGATTCGCATGCTACTGTGTCAGTATGGATTCTGGGGGTTTGAACTCAGGTCCCTCACACTTATTCAGCAAATAATGTATCCACTGAACCCTCTCCTCAGCCTCCTAGGGTGTATCTTGCCCTCTCTTTCTGTGCCTTCTGTTGTCCGTCATGTATAGATTTCTTTACATCTTTGTCAGCCTGCTTTCTGTGGCTGTTACTCTTGCTTTCCCTATACTCTATTGTCGAATGCCTCTCAATCTTTCCAACTCTTTTTGCCTCCCAGGCCTCCTCTTCCTATTTCTTTCACTGCGCCTTGACCCCTCTCTCTCTATTCCTATAGCTCTGTGTGCCTTAGTACACACAGCTCGGGAAAGGGTCAAAGAGCCCCTGCCCCTGACTGCTTGATGCCCTGTCTGGAGGGAAAAGTGGGGGACAGACAGAGTATAAGACCACCTTCCCTCCCTACCCATTGGGTAGATTGGAAGAGCTGGGCCCAGGGTTGGGGACCATGCTGGGGATAACGCAGAGTATGACTGTGTCCACCATCACCTTCTTGACCTCAGAATTGTCACCTTTTTGTACAGAGTCTGCTCTCCCTCGTGACCAGTTAACCTTCCCTCCTGTTCCTCCTTCTCTAATTCTTTGTGTCTGTGTCGCCATGACTCATTCTCCCTCCCTCTGTTTTTCCTTTTCTCCTTTCCGGTTCGGCTTCTCTTGTTCTCTGTCCATGGCTGCCCTCCTTCCCCTCCTCTGATGGCTCTCCTACTCTGTGTCTCACTTTTTTCTGAGTCTCTGTTTCTCTTTCATCTTCATGTGCATGTGCCTTTGCTTTTTCTGGCTCTCTGTCTCATGGTCCTCAGTTCTCCTTTTGTGGCGCTCCTCTCTCTCACTCCATCTCCTGTTCTCTGCCTCCGTCACTCTTCTTCACCTCCTCAACCCACCATCAGCTTCTCCCTCCAGCCTCACCGACCGCCCCTGTCCCTCTCACCTTGGTGGGTTCAGAGCTGCCCACTCCTCCTGTAGCGAGGGCCCACCCTCCACCCCAGTTATCACTCTCCCGACAGAGATAAAGTTTATCTCAAGGCTGGGGGATATGAGAGCTCCTTATCAGCTGCCTCACTAGAGAAAGTGCTCCCCTAACCAGGAGGCACAGCAGCTGCACCTCCAGCTCTCCCTGGGCCCAGCCCCTCACCCCAGGTAACAGCCTATGCCCAGGCCTCAGCCAGGGTCCTATGGGCCAAAGGAGCTGAGGCAGGATCGGGGAGCAGATGTAGTACTTAAGGGGTTAGAGGGAGAGTTTGAGAGTCCAATGAGGGGGTTGGAGTTAGAAGTTTGGGTATGGCCATGGAGTTTAGGTGAAGGAAATACTGGGTTTGGGAAGTAGAGCTGAGCTTAGAGTTCACAGACACATTTTGCATTCAAAAAATGGCTTAGGAAAATGGCTGGGGTTAGGGAATCAGGTGAAGTCTGCAAAGTTAGAGATGTAGTTTAAAGGTTAGAGATAGGTTCTGGGGGGGTCATGGTAAAATATGAGTTTTTTTTTTCTTGGGCAACAATTGGGTTTAGGAGAGAGATGGTCCTGGGCAGACAGGACCGTGGCTGATGTCTAGAGATGAATTCTAAGAACCCGGCAAGAGTGGGAGAAGCCAAGACCGGGTTGGGGGAGAAAAGGTGTGGAAAGAGTGGGAGTCAGGGAGCAGTTAAACCTTACGGCTTAAGGAAGATGGACACAAGGGTCACTGTGACAGAATAGATTTGGGGGAACAAACTTAGTGTCTAAAATAACACATTTTGGCCACGGGTAGGTGAAGGGGACAGTTTGGGGAGGTCAGAGAAGACCAGGGAGCAAGCCAGGGTCTGAAAGGCAAAGATGGGTCAAAGCTAGGGTTCGGCAGATCAGCCTGGTGTGGTTAGCCTGAAGTATTCACTGAGAGCAGAAATATGAGTCTTGGGGAAGTCAAAGTTTTTTTCTTTTTCAGGAGAACGGAAAGGCAGAGACAAGTTTCAATTAGTGGAAATCAGATTTGGGACAGAGATGAGAGCTCAGGGAATGAAGGCATAGTTTTTGGAGGTTGTGGTCTATACAGAAGGTTGGCCTTGAAGGATGAGGAGAGAATTAGGGGTCAGAGGACATACATATCTTAGAAGGAATGGAAAGAAGTTGGGGCAGATGGAGGAAGGTTTGGGGGGGGGGGAGAGATGGAGGTTGGAAACAGAAGTCTGGGGAGCTGTGGAGGAATTCCGGGATGACCCACACTTTAGGGGCAGAAAGCCTGGAGCAGGCTTGGGCAGCAGGCTGGGGGTTAGCTTGCTGGAGGCTCTTTGGGAATTGAGACTGACCTGCGTTGGTTGATGCAGAGGGTTCAGCCACCTTAGTGATGTGGTGAGCTCAGTGTGATCCCAAGGGGTGTCCTCACTGGCCTTGGCCTTTGAGGCTCCCTTCCTCCCTCCCTCCTGCCAGCCCGCCTTCCCTCCCACCCACCTTCTCCCTCCTCTTTCCTCCCCAGGGAGTGGCTGGTGCCCCAGTGGGTGGGGCAGTGCAGGGGAGGGGGGTGTGCCGCCTACTTGTGAGGGACCTGTTAGGCACTAGTAGTGCCTCCAGCCTTCCTGTCTAGCCCGTAGATTGTCTATCCCGTAGCTTGCCTTTGGCTTCCATGGAGTCCAGTGTCTAGTCAAGTCATATGAGCTCTAGTCAAGATACATGGAAGTATTAAATATAAGTTTCATGCACCACTAGGAAAGCCCCTACTCTGTGCCAGGCTATGTGTGGGCTGGACCTGTATGTGTGTGAGCCCTCTTGGATGACGGGAGAGGAGTGATGTAGCTGTACCCATTTTGCAGGTGAGAAGAATGAGGTTTATAGAGGTTTGGGAGTATTTCGACCAGAACCTGTGGGCCACTTTTATGAACCAGTCTGGGGGACGAGGCCAGGCCCGGCAGAGTGAGGGTATACTTCTTTAGTGTTTGGGCCTTGTGCCTGGGGCTTACGCCAGCTCTGGCCTGCTCTGGGGCAGCAGATAAGTCTTATCAGATGGAGGCGACTGTGGCTGTTGGTGCCGCAGTAACAGGCTGTCTTGGGGTTGGGGGCAGGGTGGGGGACGCACACAGGGACAGTGCCTCAACTTCTTGCCCGCCATACGTTAGAGGTGGGAAACTGAGGTGACACCTAGAGTGGACTCCCTTGTGAGTCCCCTGAGGATTGGGATAAGATGGCAAACGGGGGGGGGGGGGGACAGTAAGTGAAAGACAGAGAGGCAGAGACAGGAATAGAGATATACGGAAAGATGGCAATGAGGAGCCAGAGAGGACAGCAATAAATAAAGGAAAGAGACAGAAGTGGAAAGAGGCAGGGGAGGGCACCCAGGAGAGAGATGGTGAAGGAACCTGAGATGCTAAACATGTAAGGAGAGTCAAAGACAAGGTGGGGCAGAGCTGGGCAGGAGGTGAAGGGAAAACCTGGAAATGACAGAGGAAGAAAGGAAGAAGGAAGGGAATGATGTTGTAGACAGGGTGAGAGGTACTCAAAACCAGAGAGGGTGACCCCCAGGGGGAATGTTCTAGCATATGCTGCATGCTGGTGGCATTGGTGTGAGGATGTGGCCGATGTGATCTGTGTGGCTCTGCTGTCAACCTGCATTGAGGGGACAGCCCTCCAACCCTGGTCACTGGGTGCTTACAACCCATCCAACCCTATCTTCTCTTG